TCATGAACTAACAAGGATTGGCAAAACACTCTAAAAGCATAAAGCACTGGAAAAAGGACTTAGAAATGATTATAGGCTTCAGTAGATGCTAAAACTCCTGGGAGAAGAAGAAAGGAGAAAACTCCTTACAATGGCAAGTGAAGAGTTGGATTATTTATGCTAATGCTAGCAATCTAATGAATAAACTAAAAAAAAAAAAGGTAGTACAAGAGAAGCCATACTCAACTCTGAATTCTCCCACTTCCCCAGGGCAGCACTGGTTAGTGGGTAGCCTGAAAATTGATGTTAAAGTAATGTAAGAACTCTGCACACGCACAGTGGCAGGGAAGGTTAGCTTTGTAGTTATTTCTTGACCCTCCAAGGGAGCTGCAGCTGGAACCAGAGCTGCTGGCTCACAGCACATCTGCATTGCAGAACTGTAGGACCATATTCAGCTTTAAACAAGCTTGGCTTCATTAGTGTGGGAGTTAGCTCCAAGGTGGGCATCTCGTAGCACAGGGCTTCAGCAGCAACGCTGACTTAAAGTACTCCCACCCACTTCTGTCCTCCATGCTCCCTCCCGAGTCCCATCAGTAGGACATCTGCAGTGCTGCCTCGATCGGAACGGCAGCGGACGACTTTTATCCTAGATCAGCAGAGCATCTCATACACCTTGATGCTCTCTACCTGCAGGATTAACAGACCCAAAGGCAAAACAGTGAGCTTTCTTCCTTCTGCTACTTATTTACGTATCAGAGCCACAGGCCTTCTGGCATCACCAAGCACACCAGTCTAGGCCCACTGTAAACTCAAGTGAACAAATGAAATGTAATGCTGATTTCTTCATTCAGGGAAGAAACTTCGAAAAGGTCCACAATGCCTCAAAATGCAGTTTTTCTTTGGCAAGGAGTCATCTTCTTGTGAATTCGACATTCAAACAAGCTCCCTGGTGAAGTAAGCACAGGCTGCCTTTTAATACAAACATGAAACTCGCATTTAACTTATTAGCTGGGGGAGGAATACAGATGAGGGCTGGATGAACCTAATGAGTCATCGTTTCTGTAACTTAAAAAGCAAGCTTGTCTCAAAAAATCAGTTCATTTGCTTTCATTGTGTACTGCAGATAGAAGTGCATAAATAATTAAAAGATTAATAAAAACACTTCCACCAATTGTTCTAGTCAAATGAAAAAGCATCTGGATTATAAAAGAATGTTCTTTAAATACAGAAAATAAAACATGTCAAATGGTACAGCGTTTTGTGAAAGGCTGAAGGGGGAGACAAACGCAGATTAGTCATGCCTGAATGCAGCTCCCCAAACCAAGTGCTTAGAGCAAGATAAAGACATGTACATACCCAAAGGCACACATGAAAAAATAGGTCTATCGATTAGTTTCATTCTTTGATCTTTTACTCAGTTCCTTTTTTTTTTTCCAGCCTCACACCAGCCCTTCTTCCAGGTACCACCCTATGCATACTCTGCATCCTGACCACAGAACTCTTCCTAGCAAAATTCTGTGGGCAAATGAAGAGATGAAAAGCAAAGCAGGGCAAAAAACACAGCATTCATACTATTCAAAGAATCATGGAAATAAGCAAAATGCAGCATCGTCCTGCAGGAGTGTGCAAACTTCACCTAGCCTACTGCTGGAAGATTTCAGGAGCTGGGAGGAAAGCACCAGACAGAAAAGGTGTGCAAGACAGAAGCCCAGCAAAGCCTGAAGCCAGCTGAAAAAAGAAAGACAAAAACTCACTGAGACAGATGTCACTGAACACTCAGAACCCATAAAGAAGGAAAGCACGCACTCCAGCCGCCTGCACAGACTGTGAAGAAAACATCAGACTACACAAAAATCAGATGATAACATTCCTATGTTCACTGATTTGAGATATGACCAGAAAAAATCCTACAATCACCAGCACTAACAATTCTGAAAACACACAGGCTGGAAAGCCCCGTGCCATGCAAAGCTCCATGCGATCCTAGCCAGGCATCACCACAGATGTTGTGGATCGAAAATACCCATCAAGTGCTTCAGGAGGCAGCACACAGCTAGGGCAGGTAAAGAGTAAGAAGTGCTAACAAAGCGTGAGGAACTTCCTGCTGCTTGCAGAAGTGTAATGGGGGGGAAACCAATGCTGGCTAAATATAAAGGAACTGGCTTAGCATAACAGATCAGTTATTACTGTGATGAGTGGAGCTATTATAATTTTATTTCAATCATAAAAAGCAAGAAAAGATCCAGTTTGTGGTTAGTAAAACCAGGAGCTGTGAAACAGCTGCTACTCAAGATTACTTCTAACATGTTTGGAACCATTAAATAGGAAAGCAAGCAGTATACCCAGAGCACAACATCTGATAGCCACGCAGCAAGCCCTGGGCGTGCAGCAGAACCGTCATCTCAGCTACAGCCATCCCACATTTAAACACAGCTGCACCTAACACACAGCAGACATCACAGCAGTTGCAACACTCGAATCATCAGAAGCACCTTTGGCTTGGATTTCTGGGTGAGAGCATGCATTACATGGAGGGAAAAAAATCAACACTGCACTGAGCATAACGAAAACTTCTGAAGGAAAGCACACAAGTTGAGACAAACTGCATCTTGAGGACGAAGAGCAGCAGTTATTAAACAGCTCCTCAGTGGTGCTGCAATACGTACCCACACCCACAGCAGTTTTTTTTCCTTAGCTTTCACTGCTGTTACGCTCACTCATAAATCACTCTTCAATTAAAGAGTTTTAGTTAATAACACGCATCAGGCATCTAAGCCATGGGGCTACATGCACTAAAACCATTGTACAGTGTCACGTGCCAACCCTGAGCACCGCCAGCTTTTTTCCAGGCCTGTGAGGAGTTAGTGCTATTTTAAATTCACAGCAGACAGCATTCAGCTGATTGCTCCAAGAAATACTGGGCATCCACAGGTTCTCAGTGACAGCAAGGACGTGCCAGCCAGGAGCCTGCAGGACAAAGACAGTGTCTGAAACACAAGAGAAAACCCACACCAAAAAATCCTCAGCCCTGGGCGCTCACCAGTCAGTCACCAAGTGAGCTATTTGACTTTTCAGGCTCTTCTCCTCAGCCATCCTCCACCACAAGGCTTCACAGTCCATAGTCCAGAGTCCTGTCTTCTAGAAATGGGAACACCATGGCTTCTGCCCCTTGTTTTCAGAATACAAACTGGGAGACTAGAAACCCCAAAAAGTTGCCTTCCAGCAAAATTCCCATTTACCTTCCCCATACTTTTTCATGCCATCTTAAAGGGCACTGAAGTCCCAATAGTTTACCTCTGTACTCTGTCTTAACCCATAACTCATGAGCAGTATTACACAGCACTGTAATTCATCCCTCCTAACAAAGAAATTCAAGGTACATCCCACCATCTCAGAAATTGACACTCTAGCATACACCTTCAAACATGAAAATCACTGTGGGAGCCCCAAGCTACCTAGCATTTCCTTGTATCCTTTAAAAATCAACTGAGCCTCCCCTTGCAGGAAATATCAAGCACTGTTTCCTGAGAACTTTAAACAAGCAGCTTTTGTCTCCCTTAGAGTAAGAGTTGATCAGATCTAATGGAACAGTAAAAGCAGTTGGTCTGTGTTTAAGAAATATTTACACTCCAAGGGCTTGACCCGACCCTAAGAGATGAGTCAGAGCTACTAACAATGCTCCTTGTGTAACAGAAAGCTGAACAAAAGGAGATGCAAAGCTGTCAACCTACAAATAACTTCAATTGAAAGTTAAAACCAGAACTGGCTTTGTATTATGATTTACATTCAGTATTTCAGATCAATGGTTCTGCATAATCCCCCAGAGAACAACAGGATAAACACTTCAACGAGAACATCTGGTGCCTAAGCCCCATGCAGCAAGCTGTGCTAGCACACCCCAGCCCTCACCCTGCCCCAAGCCACTCGCTGGCTTTCACAGGCCCTTTCCTTCCCCTGCTCTATGGGCAACAACCTACCTCAATTTCCATCACACCCACACGATGTTCCTGTACAATAACACACAGATAGCTCAGTTCTTCTCGATGTTAGAGTCCCTGTCCTTTACTCACCGGAGCCATTACCAACAACACCTGACTGCAGGCTCCGAGTACATCCCATCAATAGTGTGGGCCATGAAAAGCCTAAGTGTACTTGATTTAACTACAATAACTGCAGCTTTTTAAAAACCACCACAATCGCAGGAACAAATGTTTTTCTGCTAACCACTAAGGGAGAATATAATTTTTCAGCAAGCACAACTCCCCCCACATAGGAATCCAATAGAAAAGCCTGCTATCTAGTCTGTCATGCTGCTAATGTGGCATGACAAAACCACATCCTTAAATCTCTATCAGTTTGATAGTTACAAAGAACAAATTACACAGGAGGTTGTTTAAGCAGTGTATTACTATGCCCCCCCCCCATACAGAAAAAAAAAGTGGTATTTTGCTTTCTATATACTGTAGAGACTGCTTGAAGTGTGTGTGTTAGTCTGGCAGACGATTCCTGTTAGCAATATGATCATCAACAGCACCACCTTCTCAGCCAGCTGTTCACAGATGAATTAAATCAGGTATTGTTAACCATAAACCAAAGTCAGCCACCCGCAAACTGGACAGGCTGGATATCCACCAGTGTTCTGCAGACACACACACACACACACACACACAAGGGAAATTATAAAAGGCAAAGAAAATTAAACTAATTTTGAGAAGCTACTGATTTTCCAGTCCTCAATTCCACCCCACCTCCCTCCACTATTCCCACCATTTATAATCTTAGGAAACATTCGATTAAATTTCTGATACAATCTCAGTTTCAAAATATTCGCTTACAATCACTTGTTTTACCTAAACTAACAGTAAACCTACACAAACACACGATGGATCACCACTAAACAGCAACATGCAAGTACTGTGCAGGCCACATCTCCCAGTTTTGTCTTTTTTAACAGCAGTTGCTTCAAATCCATTCTCAGTAACATAATGAACTTAGAGCATCACTTTAAAAGTACCACATCGTTACAAATTTTACATTGTTCTTTTATAGAAAATAAAAGCAATGCAACAAAATACGGAAACTGATCACAGTTGTGGAGCAATCAATATTTAAACAACAGATCACAATGATTATTACACAATAAAACGTGAGTCACCAGTTAAGTTAGCCTAGGCACTAACAGGGACATGAGTATAAACACTTAATAAAAAGCTGCAATCAAGCTCTTGGAATATAATAAAGCTTGGCAAGTTTAAGGCACAGCGCAGCTCCCAGCAGAGTATTCCATGCAGATTGTTCAGACTAGTTTCTGTTCTTTGAGCTCCCAAGTCACAGTGTAACTCCAGCACTTGACTGCTCACACTGCAGCACTTACCTCAGTGGTTGTTTTCAACTTCCAAGCAAGGTAAAACGCGGGGCTATTTGACTGTTACTGTCCAGGAACTCACAAATTCTCTCTTTTCTCAGGGAGAACATTTTGATCAAAACATCTTCAAAGAGAAAAAGATCTTCCTATGTCCAGCTGCTGAGACATTAGGATTTCTATACATAAATCAAGCCTCTCAGATTTTTGTTATTAACCTGTTTCCTTATTGTTCCTAGGAAATTAATCTAGCATCTAAGAATTGTGCCCTGTGAAGTAAAACAGACAGAGCACTAGACCCAGGCAGTAAAGCACAACAATCACTTTCACATCCATACACCATTACAAGTTAACACAGCTAGTGAATAACGCCACAGCTGAGTCTTGTAAGCTGCAGTATTCCTGAGCATTATTAAAGATATTATTCAAAATGTTCAGCACACACATTTATTTAGTGCATCATGTATTGCAGAGTATTCCCTACCAAAGTGAAGCACTTGTTCTACAACGTGCATGCTCCACACACTGGAGAACAGGGACTCAACACACCGCAATACAAACTACATTTGTATTTCAGTGCTATGAGATGTTAACTTTTCTCATCCATAGCCAGTTAAAGCAATTTGTATTAGCCTTACTCTCCTGTAAGTGTAGGTTTCATTGCTGATGCTTGACCATGTCCCAGCACACAGTGTGTCTGTTGCACACACACAGGCTGAGGAGAGGAATGAGTTCTGGGAACACGTTTCTCTCACTACTGGGCATGGATCCCTAATTTGTTTCATTGTTGGGTACGTTTTACAAAAGACAACATAGCAACAAAATCTTTCCAAGTCCTATATTAAGCAAAACACTTCAAAAAATACTCAACTAATACAACAAACCAAAAGTTCAAATTAACAGAAAGACCTGGAGTACAATAACTTAAAAGCAAACAGCTTTAGAAAAAGTTCTGTGCGCTGCTGGAACTGAGGGGAGAAGTTTTGTCTACATGCTGAACAGATTGCGGAGATCAGCTCAAGACAGAAATGAGGTTTAGGCTGCTATTCTACAACACAACAGTGTCCCCATGGTTGTACTATGGGAAGTGTCCAGACAGAGCTGAGGAAGAAAAAGAGCTCAACATATTGTATCATTTCACAGTGTACAGTTTCATGCACATGAAGAGAAGCAAAGTTTCCATAACGTGATCACTGTTCTGCTTCATAAAGGACAACATTTGCAGACAGCTACAGCTTGTTTTCTCCCTTGTATCTCACTTGTTCCTCCACTGCTCATTAGTGCAGGTTATAGCTGTTACTGCTGTAGTTCACCACAGGCAATGCAGTTGCATCCTTCAGCAATTATCAAGTACAAACAGAGAGGCAAGGACATAAATTGTGCCACTACGCCATTTCTTTTGCTTCATTGAGATTTAACAGTAGAAGAACAGAAAGACAAGCACTGCACTGATGAGACAAATGCTCTCAAAACAACAGAAAAGGAAAATAGAAATTAAATTTTATACCATAACAAAAATCACAATAGAAGATGAGGAAAGGTGGATATTCCACATTAGGAAGGCATCCTATGATCTCCTAAGGAACAGGTTCTAATTTTTAACTTACACAACCTCCCCAAGGAGTAATTCCACCTCACAGGAGACAAAGCTTGCCTAATATTTTGGACTCAAACTGTAACTGCAGGACAAGGTCACTGAACACATTTACCTCGTGTTGCTCTTAAAACAACCTATTCATCCTACACGAGTAACTGAACTGAGATGCCCTGAAAAACGAATTACTGAAGTCAGAAAGCAACATTTGGTTTCGACAGGAAGGTCAGAATACTTCAGAGGATGCTCCTAAGTGAGATTTTCAGAGATCACCCACAGCGTTTTCTGACAGCTTCCAGATGCTACAGGTGTAAAGCCTCAGCCTAGCACACTGCCATAAAGAGCTGCCAGTTTGGGCCAATACCTTTATTCCACTTCTTCCAACAAAGCAAGCTCTACTTGTAGGAACCTGATGAATTAGCATAAGAGAATGCAGATCTGGACTAATCACAGAAAAGAAATCTCATCTTTTCCATTTTGCTTGGACAGCAAGTAAAGTATATTACTTTTTAAACAGCAATTTAGTTAATTTAAAACATAATGCTTGCTTCAGGCCAATGTTATTCTCAGAGCAGGCCAGAAGAAATACTAAGATTTGCAAAAATAGCTACGTGATTTGTTTTTTTTAAGTGTTTCATTCTGATTTCATGTGAATGCCTCCTCAGCTCAACCTAGTAGAAGCTGATTACACCCACATACAACTTCCATCAGCATTACAGAAAATACTGCTACACATCCAAGACAAGCACAGGTCTTATCATAACTGAACAGGGTTGAAATATCAGCCTGATCTCTGCATACATCTATTACACATTTTGAAGAATGCTTTTCATTTGCAGAAAATATATTTACAGTCTGTAGGTATCAGATGATGATGGCTTTCATTTTAGTCCTGCTTGCCTTCCCGCCACTGCCGACTGCCTTCGCTCCATGCTACATACACAAACATTGCAAGCACCACATGAACTGTGACCACAGCAACTATGGCAGCATAGAAATAGCTGTCTCTGTTGGACATTCCTAAGGTACCTGAGAAGATAAAAGGAGGAAAGAACATTAGTTATGAATGCTGAAACAGAAAATAGCTTCCCCCCCCCCCCCAAAAGACCAAAATTCAATATACTGCTATATCTCAAGCTGGAGCTCAAGAAGATACACAGAAAGAATGCACTGCAATAATTACAGACCTTGAAAGCATTTCTGGAATAAAGCAACCCCACAAAACATTTAAGATTGAACACTCTGCTTTTGAAGTCCGCAATTCAGAGTTCTACAACACCCACATTTTCTTTATTATCCTCCAGCATCAAATAAACCTCATCATCCTTTTTTTCAAAGCATAAACTTTGCAGGGCAGGAAAATAGAGGGAGAAAACAACTGCACTGCTTATTTGCCACTGTACAAGGAAAAAATCGGTGGAAAAATCATTACTATAATCTACAGAACTTCTACCTTCCTAACTTCGATTGTAAAACAACTCCTCATCACTCAAGATGGTACTTCTCACAAGAAATAAGCATTCAAATATCAGAAGACAAAACATCATTTTTCCTCATCAAGGAATAACAAAAAAGACAAGTGCTCACACACCAATAACGCATCCTTCCAAACAAGCCCAATCTCATCCATGCTGACAGCTTTGCCATTAAATGACAACAAAGTTAAGGCTCTGTTTACACTTTGGCAAAAAGAACAATTCAGTACACTACAAATAAATTTGGAAGTAATTTAGCAAATTTCTCAGCCTTGAGAACTACATACAGCAGTAAGCACAAAAGGAGAAGCATCCTGAAAGACCTTCCAACTTAGTTATAAACTGACAAAGTGCTCTTAAAAGCAGCTGACTTCAACAGCTGACGTTTATAAATGCAGGTATGATTTAAAATGCAGAAAAAATACCACTGAATAACATTACTCTGTCCTGAACACACGTTTAATTGGCAACAGCTGCAGGAAGCCCATCCCTGATAATCCTGATAGAGCTCTGAGGAAGTGTGGTGTTAAGATATAATTTAGGTAAGGGGAACACTGCACCTGTACACAATATAAACCACTCCATAACAACAGTGAGTGTGAAATTGCAGACCACAATGCAGGGAAAGATGCACAGGATATGTATACAAGTTAGACATAACAGAGCTTTGTATAAATAAACTGACATTCTAAAGAGGAAAGAAAAATTTCCCTGTTTTAGCAATAGTAATGCTAATTGGGAGAGATGGAATTACCTTCAAATATATAAGCCTTTGATGAAAAATACAGCCCAACTGGCAATGTGATCATTAGAGCTGTGAAGAATAGAAGTGTTCTTAAAGTTGATGTTAATGAACCCTCATTTCTGAAATAAATAAGAAAAGTTACAGATAGAAGGAAGTCACAATATGCATGCCTGACACAGGACAAGAGCCTGCCTTGAACAGGAGAAGCAATCCAATTACTTCTCAAGAACTGAGGGCACTGGAAAAAAGTGCCAAAGGCTGAGCACACATTTGCTAACTGCAACAGCAAACCACAGTACTCCAAAAGATGCAGGAATGGCAGTTAAAGTTCACCAGCAAGGTGAGCAACAGCATTAGACTGTTCTCTTCCTGTTTTGCTAATATTAACAACATAGGTGTGCTATTTTCATGTTATTAAATATCTAGTGCTAGATACACATGCACATGACATACATGATGGTATTTCACATCAAAACTTGCCAAGTTCTACATTTTCTTTGGAAAAAATAACTACAATTCCACGCAAATGAGAAGTACCACAGCGTGGGGCACAGAGGGAAGTACACAGAATGACTTAACAGTTTGAAGCTGCAAATGAAGTTCCTTTTTTAGGTATAGTCCCTGTTTAAAATAACTTCTGTTTCCACTAAGAACCTTGGAGTAACTGTAGCAGTAATTAGAACATGGAGTTAGAACAGCATTCATAGCTTTTTTTTTTTTTTCTTCCCAGACCTAAACATAAAAGACCTTGAACAGGAGAATCAGGAGGGACTGTGTTGTTGGTAAGGTCTCCCTGGACTTTGCCTGCTAGAACAGGTTTTGTATTTACAAAACAACACACAGAGCTTGTTTCTCTGTGTGTGCCTCTACCAGTTTTTAATCACTCTGCTTCACTGACTCCATTATTTTATGCAGCAGTGAATGAACGTGTAAGCCAACCAACACCTTCTGGCTTCCAAAGATCACCATAAACAATGACAAGTGTCCTTCAGACCTTGAAGGACAAATCCCTACCAAAGCCAATTCAAGTCAGGGATACACAATTTTTATAACCCCTGGACATCTGCAAAGGTTCCAGGCACCTGGGGCAAATGCATTGCTTGAAATGTTTTACCCTCGATGTTTCTCAGGAAAAGTGGGAATAAAAATCAAGCAAACCCTCACTCTCTAACAGTCACAAAAAGATTTGTAGCCACACAGCTTTTGCACTAAAGCCAGCATCACTTGTGCTGATTAGGCCACATTATACTGACATACATTCAAGCAGCTTAAAGAAGAGATGCTCAGAATCTTTTCCCTTACTACAGTTTGGCCTAAGTTTTCTCTCTGCGAAAAGAATAAACACATTGAAGTTTTCCCATGCCTTTCCAATGCAAATGAGAACCTACTCTCTTTTTAGGCTCCCTGCTCAGCCCCTAACCGTGGATGTATGACAGTACGACCAGCAGCTTACTCCCCAGGCACCGACAAACCCGTCCCTCACAGTGCCATACGCTCGCTGCTCCCTACGCACGAGAAGCAAACGCTCGCCGTACCACGGAGCTCCTCGCCGCACACCCGCCCCGCTATCCAGGGCCTGCCAGGGGCACGCAGCACGGCCCCGCTGAGCCCGGGGCCTCCGCACGCCGCGCCCGGAGGCGGCTACCCCAGCTCAGAGGCACAAACACGGGGAACGCCTCCCTCCCGGTTCAGGCTTCCAGCCCCCACCAGCCCCCACCACCCCGCCAGTGTCCCGTCCGGTCCCGGGCCTTACTGCCGAAACTCGGGAGCGAAGGCCGCGTTCAGTGCCGCTTTGTCGTAGCGCTCCATCACCACCCCTCAGCGCCCCGCGCTGCCGCCGCTTCCGGTCACCTGACAGCACTGTCTGCGCTTCCGTCACCTGACCGCATTACAGCCGCTTCCGGTCATCTGACCGCACACCGCCTGGCTGCCGGAGGGCCACGCGCGTGCGCACAACTGGCGCATCCCGCCGCCGTCTCCCTGGCAACCGCGGGCGCGGCCCGCTGACGGAGACACCGAGCTGCTGCTGGGGACAGCGAGCGGGAAGCGCGGGGTCGACCAGTGGAGGAGGAGCCGTCCAGGTGTCCTCCTCTGCTGGCAGCAAAGTTGCTCAGAATTTTTTTGGAAAGTCCTCTTTGCGTCCTTTCGGCCCTCAAACATGAATTCGTCGCCCAAAGGCTGTAGAAAAATACCTTCTGCTGCCAAAGGAGGAGCTTCTGGTGATGTCCAGAGGGAAACGGCCCCTGCTGTAACCGAGACGTGACGGAGCAGCGGGTCTCAGTGCTGCAGCACAGCCAGGCCTTCCCACATAAAGCCCTCGAGCTGCCTGGTGCAGCCAGGCTCCTTGGTTTACCCCCCTGCTAAAGAGGGGATGCACATCCAGCTCTCCGGCAGATGGGTGTCACGACATGCTGTAGCAGCAGCCCGGTGTGTGGATACAGAGTTGTTGGTGCTCACTGAGCAGCTCTGGCAGCAACGCAGAGTGCTGCAGCCTCCAGAAAATAGTCTATGGGAGCTGTTTAGTTGAACACTGCTATCTCATCTAGTCTCGTACACAGCAGCAATAGGATACGTGTCCCTTTCATGGTGAGTCCATGTTGCTGTCTTACTGCCCAGCCAAGCCAGATGTGAATCCTGTGAGTCAGCACCTCCACATGTGACTCTTCTTGTGTTTTCCTGCACACAGCCCTCATTTCTGCAGCCTGGTGCTGCTCCTCCTCCCAGCGGCACACAGTTCATGACCTGGCACAGCAGCTTCATCCTCTTCTCAAGGCTGTCCTCCTGTCCTCCTGTGGAAGCAGCAGCAGCCAGGTCCCTTGCCCCTTCAGGCTGCTCAGCAGTGTTTGAGCAAGCCCTAGTGATGCACAAAGTCCAGCTCAAATGCAGAAGCTGGATGTGTTTATAGATTTCCTAGTGAACAAAAATGACTTGGCAAAAAAATCCGTGCATAGTTAAGATATGTCAGACAACTGAAAAATGTGAATGTCGGTGCCACGAGCATTTAATCAGTGGATACGTTGTGTTCTTTCCACTTCCACTTTGACTTCCCTGTTTGTTTCCCTGAAACAACAGTGACATAAGATAATTTAGCAACAAAACAAGGAAATATAGAAGTAGAATGATTTCACATAAACTTACCACAGAGATGCTATCAATCATGAAAGGGCAGCAAGTAACTCAAGGCCTAATAGCCCAAGTCATCTATTTTTAATACTGAGTTACCTCATATCTCAGCACACAGATTCACTCATTTGCTAGATGAAAAATAGTTTTGCTGAATAATTTTGTGCATGTTTCACTACTGTTCTTTCATGAGCACTTAAAGGAAATACAGCATGATTCAAAAATTTTCTCAACTGTGAAAAAAACAGCCTTTTGTTTACATTTTTTCTTTCAATCCTTTAAAAGATCAAGAACTTACTAGGTCCTGCCTGAGCTCTTCAGTTTTCATACACTGAGTATTCTGAAATTGCTAGCAGACCAGAGACTTTTGGACTATAGAGCAAACAAAAAATTGTCCTGAAGCAGAGATGGTGCTGCGAGCGCAAGAAGCTGCAACTAAAGATTGGTTTATTCGAGCACATGATCCTCCATGACAGTCATTGGTGGATGCTTGAAGAGTAAAAACACAGAGCACATACAGAGTGATGTCTTTCCTGGTATGTGGTCCTAGCACGGTGCTCCACAGAGAACACTGCCTGATGGTGAGGGGCTCCAGCAAATGGCAAAGCAGGGAAAAAGCCTGTTAGCCTAACTCTGGCCACGTGTTCCCAAGAGCGTGGAGCAGCTCCCTTTCTCTCAGCCTCATTTGTGCTGCAGTCCCTCTCTCTGCTCCCTGTGAATCACCTTGCAGTCTGACCACAAAATTAAAAGCAACTCAACAATGCAAACCATCATGTGTCTGCAGAAGTCAGTACGTTTGGGCCCACGTGGGGCAGGGAGTGCATTTCAAAATCTGGATGGAGAAAGGAGGCTGTGCAGACTGAGCCCTCTGAACTTGCTGGCGTCCAGAGGCTTCATCTCAAGGATGGTGCAGAGCAGCTGGGAAGCGCTGCTGGAGCAATACCATCTAGTGGCAGATGGAGAAAGAGAGTCCCACATCACGAGCAGAGCTGAAAAAGGGAAGATCTTAAAGATAGTTTTGAAAAACAGAACCACCTTCTTGTGAGGATGTATGCATACATGTAATAATCAGGGTGGTTTTTTCCTTGATTTGCCAAAGCAGAGCATATAAGTCAGATGATCAGAACAGGAGATGATATGGGGAAGGAATGATGGTTACGGGAACCAGAATAGACACAAGTTGGAAGGACTGATCCTGCAGAAGTGCCAAGCGATCCCCAGGATCCAGATTTTGAAATGACATTTCCTAGCAGCAAGCAGTGCTGAGCAGAGCCTGCCTTGAGGCTGCTGAGCACTTATTTAGCTGTAGGAATGCTCTTACATGTTTATGAAGTAGCCCAGAGGTGCGGATGAAGAAGAGCAGGTGTGAGACACAGCTTTATTTCAGGTCATGGTTTGCCATGGTCAGGGGAAAGATGCGTGATGCTTGTGACTGGATCTGAAGTGCAGAGGGACAATTCCTATCTAGAGAGCTGGCATTTGTAAGGCACGATATCATCTTTATTACAGCACCTGAGAGACTGAGAAAACAAATTGATAATTCTAGGGGCTGTGAGTCTCTTTTGCTCCATAATAAAGGCTTCTGTGCCAGAAAACTGTCCCTTTTTTCCAGTGATGCCAGTTGACATATGTGAAGATGTTATCTCTTTCTACCAAAGCCTTTCATTTTCTTTAAGTTATTACGGTTCCAGCAGTACTGCAAATACTCTCTAACTGTTTCTGAACTTCTGCACTACAGGAAGAAAGAGGTGTTTATTCCCAATACTGCAGTCCAAAAGTCCAACTTCTCAAAGGAAAACATAGAGCATGTTGCAGACTTGGGCACCAGTTTTAGATTTAGAACCAGCCTATCACTAATGCTGTGGTTTAACAAAGAAACCATATATATGGGCTTTATGGGAGTACAGTCTCTGTTACAACCCTGTTGCCCGTTCCTAGGATAAATCAGAGTAAAGAGCTAAGATGTTCTTATTAGCTAATGGAGGTTAGAAGTCTCCCAGCCTGATTTCCACCTCCAGCTATAATTGCTGTCATTTTTCAGAGAAAACATAGGGCTACTGACAGAAATGGCTGCCTTCCACTCACATTGTGAAATACCTGAGGCAACTACACTAAGAGTGGGAAAGGCTCCATTCCCACAGCTGATATAAATCAACCCATACTTACCAATTACAAGTGAAACTGTAGATAATGAACTCAAGTGAAGAGGAAGAAATTCCCTTTGTCTGTTCTGGCAAATGGAACGGATCTTACATGTTACAGGAATTAGGTCAGTATGTGACATTATGGTGCTGCCCAGGCAATACTGACTATGCAGTTGAAGTTGTACATTTGTCTCGCAGGTTTGAGGTGTGCTTTTCCAAAACGTAGAGGTGCACAAACACACACACACACACACAAATACATACACACAAACTTCCCACTTCTTTTTGGCTTATTGCTAGCTTTAGAAAATAGAAGGGGCCATTGTGGAAATGGAGAGTTATGGAGGCGATGTTTCTCTTCTACAGAGTCATAAAAAAAAAAGAAGAAAACAAGAGTCAATCAGCCCAATCAGGGTGTCAGGAAGCATGGGAAAGTCCTCAGAATCTGGAAAACCTCAGAGAGTTCACCACGATAACCTCCGAGCTGCAGACTGACAGGTTTGTCCCTCGGGCGGGCTGCTGTGACATTCAGCACCCAAGTTCTGCCGCAGAGCCTGGAAGGGCTGGGTTTGCCACCAGCACCAGGCTTACCTTGGAGCTTAGGGCTGGGTGAAAATCCATTCAATGACAGTAACTCGATCATGGGAGCAAAAACAAGAAGAAAAAAGTCACATCTAACTAATTTCACAGAAGATTATTAGATAAAAATTCACAGCACTGTTTAAGCACTGTTTAGCTGAGACAGACTACAAGCTGCTTTCCACCTTTGCCAAAAGGATTTTATCTCAAACAGGAGATTTTTTTTCTAGGTAATCCATATGATTGCCAAAAAAAAAAAAAAAAAAAAGAATCTCCAGCCAAAACAGTACAGCTGGGACGCTCCAAGTGCCCAAGAAAAAAAGCATCAGCAACTGGAGACTTTTCTACCTCCATATCCAACAGCAGAGGCATAAAGCAACAGCTGCGCCATCTGTGTTTATCCTGTGTTAGTTTATCTTCACTGTCCGATCCTGTGGCAAATTTCCCTGCCCCTGAACCAGAAAACCAATTAGTGGTAGGCACAGGCAAGAGCCCTCCCTGCCATCATCCCTGTCATTTCGTTGCCAGCTGGCCCTGGAGTTGGTTTAGGCTGCAGCAGCCAGCACTCTGCAGGCACCCGGCGTGCACAGCTGAGCAGCACCAGCTCCCAGCAGGTGACGTAGAAAAGGTTGTGTTTTCTTGCAGCGTTTGCAAGCACCACTGGAAGCAAGATGCTGGCTGGAACAAATACGTCTAAGGCAATTCCTTGTACCAGCAGAGCAAGTTTTGAGGTTGGAATGTGCACCACTGGACAGGGCAGGATGAGGCCAGGGCTGGAGCGATGGGGAAGAGAGATCTGTCAGCGTGAAAAGCAGAGGATTCTGTGACAAACATTAAATGGAGTCCCCCACTGTACAAACACAAACAAATTGGAAAAAGCAGCTGTTTCCTGACCAGTTCTAGAGATGTGTTTTATAGCGTTGGAAATGCGTGTGTGGCTTGTGGCTTGAATAATACCTGCTCATAAAAAGGATGTTGTTTTATGCAATGGGAACTGAAG